AAACAACTTCAGTTGCTTAGCCATGCTATCAGGATGTTAGATAAATGTCTCCCAAAAGTATCTTCTTTGAACAGCTTCCTGAAAATGGTCTGGTGGACTAAAAAAGGGAGGTGCGTGGAGTTGAAGGACACAATGAAGACAACTTTGAAGGAATTTAATATTAACCATGTCAATTTGGAAGCTCTCATTCAAGATCAAAATGCCTGGCAAAACGCCATCAAAGGGCTGAAAAGTTATAAGTAAAAAAAAGAATCAAAGATGCACAAAAAGACAAGAGAAATGAGAAAGCAAGGATGTAACATCTCAGCGGCCCGATGAATACAAGCCAAGCCAATGCATCCCCATTGCTTATTTGAATTACTTATTTTTTTCCACATTTTTAATTAATTAATAACACAAACAAACATATAAAACAAACACAGAACACATAATCGGGGAGAATATTTTCCATATATCCATCTAACATATAATACTGAGTGCATAACCCATATTGCCCTGCTTAACATCTTTAGGCCATATCCATTTGATATACAATTCTGACTACATAAACCCCAAGGATTAACATACATAAATTGTCAACATATAAACTTAAACCTGTATTGATCTTATATTCAAGCCACTCTTAATTGCATAGACCAACTATAGTTCATGAGTTACTTAATATCTTCATGTTTCTAGCTTGTCATCAATACCTTCTAAACAATTGTGATCAGAGTATGTAATCTAATTTAAGCATTGCCTGTACTTATCAACCATTTAAGACGTTCTGCAAGTAACTTTCCCATTTTTGTTATATTTCTTTGCTCCATGTATGAACCAGGTATATAAAGTCTCTATAGATTCTTTCACCTGCATACTCCTCTATCCAATACTTATCATCAACAATTCTAATTTCATCATAAAGGTAGCTTAATCACACACACCTCCTGTGACAACCCCAGACCTACTGGAGGATGTCACAGTTTCACTAAGCTGCCACCAACCATTCCCTGTAAGGAGTCACACAGACCGGGAATGGATTTTTAACAAATAAAGGAATAAGGTTTATTTACACAACACACAGGGAAAATAAAATGATCAAGTGAATAAGATACAGTAACGTGGCTTAGTCTCAATCATACATACACCAGTTTGGTTCACTCAGAACACTCTTAAATAAAGCACAGACCCTGAACCTATCAGTTCTGGCTACCCTTAAAGACACCTGAACCTATCAGGTTGGTACTGACTGACACACAGTAGTACCCTGTCTGA